AAAAAATTTTATAATTATTTTCTTAGTAAAAATTTCATAATTATAAATTATAATTATCTTAAATTATATAAGTGGTTTTAGTTTAATATTTTTAAGCTTTAATATGCGACTAGAATTTAAATTTTAAATTTTTTTAAAAAATAAAAAACAAGAACAAACTAGTAGTGGTTTTTATTTAATGTTTTTTTAATTTTTAAATATGCATAAATAATTAAATTTTAAATATTTGTTAAACTAACACCAAGAGCAAATTAATTAACAATTTATTCATGCATCTAAGAACTATATATATATATATATATATATGCAAATTTCATACAAATGTAATTTAAATATTATATATTTATAATAATATTTAACTATTGCATCACATACAAATAAATAAATGATTAATTAATTACACTTAGATTGCCATGATATATTTGTACTACTTTTTATGCTGCATAAAATTATAATGCGAGATTTACATGCAAACCATTCAATTCCTATTTATTTACATATCTAACACCAAAACTTGTTACATATGTGTACATTATGTATTTCAGTTTTTGAAAGTTAAACTATGATCGATGCAATATGAAAATTTCGAGTGGTATTAATGTAAAAAGTAAAACTAAAATGTTAGATATTACAAAGAAATTAGGTGGTATGCATGTAAATGTCCTAAGTTTAATAAAATAAATTCACATTAGCAGATTATAATACAAATAAAAAACATTAATCATACTTTAAGATCAACACAACACAAATATGTAATAAATTTCATAAACTTTAAATCGACTCCAATAATTTCCTCACACATCCAACAAAACTTTACATTAAAACCCATAACAAATTTCTTTTAACACAGGTGACCTCGGCCAGACCGGATGGACAAACTCCACCCTCACCCACATCTCCAACTCCGACCACGACGTCCTCCTCCTCCCAGGGGACCTCTCATACGCCGACTTCTACCAACCCCGTTGGGACTCCTTCGCCCGCCTCGTAGAACCACTTGCCTCACGCCGCCCATGGATGGTCACTCAAGGCAACCACGAGATCGAATCCATCCCCTTCCTCGAACCCAAACCCTTCAGACCCTACAACGCTCGTTGGCACATGCCCTTCGAGCAGGGCAACTCTCCTTCCAATCTCTTCTACTCATTCGACGCCGCCGGTGGCGATGTCCACGTGCTCATGCTCGGGTCTTATGCCGAGTATGGCATCGGTTCAGAGCAGTACAGATGGATGAAGGCGGATATTGGGAAGGTGGATAGGAGGAGGACGGCGTGGGTGGTGGCGGTGGTGCATGCGCCGTGGTATAATTCGAACGAGGCGCACCGAGGGGAGGGGGAGGGGATGAGGAAGGTGGCGGAGGAGCTGATTTATGAGGGACGTGTGGACGTCGTCTTTGCCGGGCATGTGCATGCATACGAGCGCTTTGTGAGTGGAAATAGGAATTTGTTTAGAATAATTTTAATCATTAATTAAAATTATTTTTGATAGCTTAATTATTAGATTTTTTTTATGTGAGTAAAAAATGAAAGATTTATAACTCTGGTTGTTTTTGCAGACAAGGGTGTATAACAACAAGGAAGATGAGTGTGGTGCCATACACATCACGGTGGGCGACGGAGGAAATAGAGAAGGGTTGGCCAGCAATTATATAAACCCGCAGCCAAGCATCTCTTTGTTCCGGCAGGGGAGCTTCGGCCATGGCAAGCTCGAAGTCGTCAACTTCACACATGCATTGTGGACGTGGCACCGCAATGAGGACGATGAGCCGGTTGTTGCCGACAGCGTGTGGATCACGAGCCTTGCGACCAATCCGGCTTGTGTGAAAACCAAGTGAAGATGTGGAGCTATGTGATTTCTTTCATGGGAGATTGGTATAGCTAGCTAGCTCCAATTTGTTATTATATATAAAGGTTTTTTTTTTCTTTTTTTTCTTTTTAGTGAAAGAAATGATGATGTGGATTATGAAATAAGTTGTTATTTGAAGTTGATGGTGTGTATGGCAACCTTGCGTGTTGCATGAAGCCTCATTTGGTAGAAAATATTGCCACCATGTGAGGGAGCCGTATCAGTTACATCATTTGAGTGAATTCGACTCTTTTGTACGAGGAGTATTGATCTTGTTTGTTATGTTTTTATTATTTTTCTGGGCTTTCTTTCTTTTTTTTAGAAAGGGAGGTTTTTTTTCTTCTTAGGTTGAGTTTGATTGTTTTGAGTTGGCAGAACTTTTTTGATTGGGTAGGCTTTGTCAAGTTGATATAGTCTATTTTTTTATGGGCACTTATCAATAGAGTGACGATAGACTATTGATTAGAGGATGAATAATCTTTTTAGGATTTTTAATCCTGATTTTTTTATTATAGAGCGTAAGAGAGAAGAGAGATATACGGAGAGAGACAACGACGAGAGTGAATAATAATGAACAACAAATTATATCAATCATATTGACATTTCCCAACCTTTTTGGCTAAAATTGTGTTTCTATTCTACATGAAATAATCTCCCTAATTATGAGAGAGAGAGAGAGAGAGAGAGAGATTATAATATAGTAATGTTATATATTTTTTTTCTCCTAATTTAATGGGAGTTGAGTATTATAGATATTTAACATGTTTGAACCTATCGCTTGATTGCTCTCTAACTTGATCAAATGAGCTTATTTGGCTTCAACTTGGTATGGTTGGTCTAGTCGGCTAGGGTGAGCCAGCATTGCTGGTTGGCTTGGTTTAATTGGCTTCAGGTCTACGAGATTGATTCAATTAGCCAAGCTTTATTGATCAATTGGTCTAATATAGTTGTCGACCCTCGATCCCTTGCAAAGAGTTTCAATCGACAAAGTAATACTAGATTATTGAGCAAATGGTGAATCACCGTGACCCAAGAAATAACCTTCTCTTCAATAAGGAGAACCCGAGGGATGTTTGCATGACACTTTGTAGCTCTATTAATTCTTAATCCCTGATGAATAGGCTCGGGGGCGTCCTGGAATGTTTGGTGATATTGAGGAACTGAATTTTTCCTTGAGTTTGATCTACCCAAAGGGAGGTTGATGCCTTCAATCGACTTTCTTGTGGCTGACTTGAATTTCTATTTGTCTTGTTTTTTATTGAAAGACCCAAATTCAACCACCTTCGTTGATTGGCTTTGGCTTTGCTTGTTATGGCTTGGACAGTTGCATCCGATCAGTTAAGTAAGCATCCTTGGCTTCTATTGCGAGTCATCGTACGTCGTACTTTCTTCCTTTTGGACAGCTAGATATCCTCGGGAACAGTGCTGACACAATTTCAATGTACAATTTCTATATTTCTTATGTTGACCTTGTCTTTTTAACTTGAAGTCGTTGATATTTTTTAGGGATGTGTTCAATGATGTTGCTATCAGATTATCACTAGATAGGAACCATACCAACCTCATCAACGACTTGCATGATAAAGGAATTTCATCAATAAAAGAAGAAACTCTCTGAAGGGAGGATAATGACTTGACTTTGGAGCTTAATAAGCAAAGGAATAGGAGGGGGATGTGGTAGGAGCTTCTCTAAAGGCTCCAACACTTGCTGCTACTTGCCGTTATTCTTTACTATACTAGCAAAAACCATATCCCTACACCAAAGATGACTCCAAACAATAACATTTATTGCAATGGGTGCTAACAAATTTGATCTCATGCAAATCTATACATTAACAAATGTTGAAAACTTCCAAAGGCAACAAAGAAATGAAACTTATGATGCAACCGTACGGTCAGAGCCCCTCAATTAATGGGAAAAATATTTCGGCCAAATGTCTATAGATCATGATGGCTAACCATTGGCATGTACGTCCCCGGCCAATGAGGTTTATGACAATGTGGTGGCTGGTGATTGACCGTTCGGACGTGCAGTGTCGGAACAATTTTTTTCTCCCAATATGGAGGGACGATTGAGCAATTTTTTAATAGGAAAAGAGTTTGATAGAGCTACAACGCTCTTGATATTTATTTATATTTAATCCAATAATAAATAATTAGAGATTAAACCTTATTTTATGTAAGCCTTATTTAATTTGATTAGTTGATAAAAAAAATTGAACGCAAACATAACTGTATAGATTATAACTTTAAAAATATAAGCAATTTAATAAATTTTAATTGTTTCATTTTGCAGTGCCCCCGATTTGAACACATGCTAACTAAGGGTCTGTTGGGAGCAACTTCAGTTAATTAAAAAAAAGTTGTGAACCTGTTGAAAAATAATCATATAATGATGTTGCAAAAAACAGTGGTGACCATTGTTTTTTTTTTTTAAAGTCAAACCGCAATTAGAAAGCTGCCACCACACCTAGCCAGAACCGGTGAAAAAAAAAAGTTTTCAACAATAATTTTTTTGAAAAAACTATAAAAATACAGTTTATGCAAACAGACAAAACCACAGTGCGGTACGACACCCCTCTCCAAACGGATCCCAGATCTTTCTTATGCTCAAATAATAATAAAAAAAT